CCTCAATGACAGGGGGAAGAGGAAAGGGAGAGGCTTTGGGAAACAAGCAAGAGAATGAAAAGCTCTCAAAGCAAATGCATGGGGGGAAAGAGGATTTAAGAGGAACAGTAGCAAGGGTAAGAGCTTCCCCTAGAAACCTATCAGCTTTTAATGCTGAAGAAAGAGCAGAAACAGAGAACAGCAGGAAACCCCCTTCCTCTTCCACCCTGTCTCTTAGCACCAGTGTTTGCAGTGGGTCCCTGCAGCCCTCCCCAGTGGACATAGCCAGGGACAACCAGAAACCACACATCCGTGCTGCCTTGGAACCCACTCAATGCCCTGCTCAGCCTGGGGAGCCAGGGGAGCCTATCTCCCATCACTAAGTGTGGACACATCTGTGCTGCTGTAGAGTAGAGAAGGTGCCTTCGTGATCTTTACATCAGGGATGGAACTACTTTTCCTACAGCAGCATTTCAGATTAGTTACTGCCTGGTGTATACACAACTATCAGTCACCTGGGTCAGATCAGGATCTGTTCCACACAGGAAGTGGAAAGACCCCCTTACCAGCACAGCTGTGTGCATTACTGCACGTGGAGTTGAGAGAGGGATTTCAGGGACAGAGAGAGGGATTGTCTGCTGGGGGACAGAGCTAGAACAGGCTACTCCAGCAGTGGATTTCACCTGATCTCAGAGTGGTTCACATCAGCTTGACAAACTCCTTTAAATGCTCCCCCATGCCAAAGCAGGGATGGGCATGGCAGAGAGTCTCATGGCATAATAAATCTGGCATCAATTGAGTTACCTGTGTGCCCACGGCGAGCAATACATCACAGACCTGAAAACAAAGTGTGGGGGGACACCGCGTTATTAACCCCCCATCAGTTTTGCTGATTGGAAGGCAACCAAAGCATCCATGGCACACATAAAGATGGGATCAAAACCCAGCGGGAGAGCTGCAGGACCAGTAGCAGCACAGCATACATGGAATTCACTTCAAAGGCTCCTAAAATTGGAAACATCTCTTATGCAATAATATGGCTTAATGCAGGATGCCCTCGGTGGCCTGAAGCAACTGTAAACATGGACTTAAGGAGCATTATGAGCCTTCAATGCTGTAGGGAGAGAGGTGTGAAGAATGGAAGCATGCTTGGGGTGGAGGCAGCCTGGGGCCCTTTGTTTGTGCTCTGTCTGAATTCCTTGTTTCTAAGTCATCATTATCACAGATCCCCAGCAGCTGAGTGATCTCCAATGGGAAAGTGTCAAGGCAGACTATGTGTATGGAAAACACGCTCATCCATTAGGCAGATCTCTCGGACATGACTTCTAAACAAGTACTGGGTGAAGTTACAGCTGAAATGGATGGATCTCAGTGCAGTTTCCAGTCACTTTCCAAAACCTTCTTGGGAAGCTGTTTAAATGGGATTTGGACCAGGCTAACCTCGGCTATGCGGTTGTCAAGGGAAAGCATCCACACACACGTTATTAATGACTGACTTGGGGGGACATTGCTCACTTCTGTTTGGATAGTGTTCCAGCCCATACCAAAACCCTGGCTACAAGTGTTCAGCTGGTCCATACTGCATAGAGGGCTATACTCCTCTGCTGAGACCAAGCATCATGCTGGGATCAAACAGCCAGGGATGGCAGCATCCGACTGTAAGTTGTTTGTGTAGGGATCTTCTCACCTCTCTTTGGCTGCTTGGGATGGAGCATTACATCTGTTATGGTTTAACATCATTGTTACTGTTCACCTCCAGCCAGAGGACACAAAAGGAGGTGAAGGAGGAGGAAGCAGCCTGTACCACCCAAGACTGAGGGACTTCATTGTACCAGTGACCATCCCACTCCTGGAGCCTACTCATTAGTTCAGTCAGCAATTACCCCTATCCTCTAGTCCCTGCTTAAAACATCCTGGGCCAAGGACTGAGACAGACAGGACCAGCTCCTGGCAGGGCTGCAGCAGTGGAGACAGTGGGTTATGGTGCTAATGAAGGGGTCCCACAGCTCTGGAGTTGGCAATGGCAGAGCTGGACCAGCGGTGCCTGAGGTGCTGGGATGCTGACGCTGATGGGGCTGTTTCCTGCCATGGGGTGCAGTCAGCAGTTTGGAAGCAGGTCCTCAGTGTTCTCACAGCTTCTGCAGGAGTAATTGCACACAAAGGCAGAGCGTGTGCACAGCAGTTCCTCCCTCAGCTTGTCAGGGTGACCATGCCTTGTTTCCAGGAGCAGGAGCAGCCAGCCCTGAGCTGGCAGGACCACTTGGTTGCACTTCCATGGAGTAAGAGCCAGCCTATGCAGAGCTTTCCCACCAGCTCAGAAAGTTATTTTTCTGTTCAACCAGTTCATGTCCCTGATATGCAAATGCCTGGTTCCTTGGCTTCATAGAATCATGGAATGGTTTGGGTTGGAAATGACCTTCAGATCATCCAGTTCCAGGCCCTTGCCATGAGCAGGGACACCTTCCACTAGAGCAGTTTGCTCCAAGCCCCTGTGTCCAACCTGGTCTTGAACACTGCCAGGGATGGGGCAGCCACAGCTTCTCTGGGCACCCTGTGCCAGTGCCTCAGCACCCTCACAGGGAAGAGCTTCTGCCTTAGATCTAACCTGAACTTCCCCTGCACATGAGCCTGCCAGCCTCACTCTGCACTGCAGAGCATCAGGAGAGGACAAACAGCAGTAAATGAGGTTGCAGGTCCAACAAGCATTGATCCTGCCTGCATTTGCTTCTGGCACATCAGCTTCCTAAGTCACTCTTCGCAAAGGGTACTGCTTTGCCCTGTTCTGGACTTGTAAGAATCTCATTTAGCTTCCAGCTGCAGCCAACCACTCATTCTTAAGGGTACCCTCATACTGAAGCCCTTTGCTTCTTTAAGTGCTCTCTTCTCTCTGCTTACAGCAAAGAAACAGTATGCTTTGCCAAGATATGTTACTAAATAAATAGAGCTGCAGGCAGTCTCCACATGACCCCGCTGGCAAAAGACACTGAAATTCCATTTTAATTCAGCAAAATATCAACACTTATTTACCACAGTCCATAAAATTTATGTGACAAAATACCTGACAGACAGCTCAGTAGCCCTCTTACTGAAGCAGTGTGAAAACACAGCAGAAAAGCCAGCCCTAAGTAAGCTCAGCACATGTGGCAGCCTTACATTCTCTTGCCTCTTCTGTCTGGTTCCAGCTGCCTGAAGTAGCTTAGGGTTCACCTTTAGCATAAGCCAACTCTCACACTGTAAAGGGACATGGCCACCCTTGTCCTGTTTGACCTGTTGACATTGGGTTTGAAGGAAACTTGCCATTACCATTCCCAATGCACTGCCACCTTGCCACATCAAGGATGCTGTTGGATGTGCTACCCAGACCCCTCAGTTTAGGTGCAACTTCATAAGGTTGGCAGTAGAGGAAAGGTTGGGCTGATAAAATCGTGCTTTACGGCAGGATGATTTGAGCTTGCCTGCAATGTAGGTGTTTTACTCCACGCCCTGGGATCCCACACCTTGCCAGAGCTGGGAATCTGGCCCTGGCCAAAAGCCACCGCTGGCCACGATGGTTGCACTGCTTGTATTTCTTTTCTCATTGGAAGCACAACATCTGGCACACTCAGCCCTTCCTCAGCCTGGGACACATGGAGGGAGCTCTGCTCTGTCAGCCAGCCCCATTTCAGCCTGTTTGTGGACAGACAGCCCACATTTACCTGCCTGAGCCAAAGCCGTCAGCCACAGCCCAGTCACAACACAGCCTATTTCATATCAAGACAGTGATAAAAACAGCTTCTCTGCCAGCACAAAGCCTTTGCCTATGGGCCATTGCTCCCACATGGCTCACAGGGATGGAGGCAGCAGTGGGAAGACCTGGACCCTTGGCATGAAAGAGAAACAGAAACTGCTACTTCATCTGAATCTTCAGAGCTTCGTGGCCCCCTTCCAAAGGAGGACAGATGCGCAGTTGTCTTCCCATCACACTAAACCATGTCGTCCAAGTCTCTGTCCAACATGGCCTTGAACACTGCCAGGGATGGAGCATTTACCACTTCCTTGGGGAACCCCATCCAGCGCCTCAGCACCCTCACAGGGAAGAGCTACTGCCTTAGATCTAACCTGAACTTCCCCTGTTTCAGTTTGAACCCATCAGTCCAAGTCCTATTGCTGCAGTCCCTGAAAAAGAATCCCTCTCTGGCATTCCATCCACTCCATAAACAGGACACATCTGCTCCAGCTCCGTGATCTCATTGCCCCAGGGATCCCTGCAGCAGTGTTGCCTGTGCCTTCATCCCCGTAGTGTCTCCTGTGGGGCTGGTGGGAAGGAGCAGGGCAGTGAGGGGTGGCCCTGCTTTCCCAGCCCTCTGCATCATTGCAGGGAGCAGCCTGGAGGCTAAGAGCAGGAGCTGTCAGCACGGCTCCCTCTGCTCCTCCGTGAAACCTGCCATGTCCCAGGGGAAGCGTGTCCCTGGTGCCAGCTCCCTGTCAGAGCTCATCAAGAGGCAAAGCTGCTGTGCTTATTGCTCCCCTCCTCTCCTTGGGACCACAGTGACAGAGAGCACTGCTCCATCTCATCAGGATAGATCAGGACAACCGAGTGCTGTCTTGGTATAAAAAACCCAGCCTGAAACATGTTATTGCTTCCAACTTATAGAGAAACGAGGAACATTTCCCGTGCCAAATGCAGGCAGCACAAGCCCATCGCCTTTGGTCAGATTTATAGGGGGTTACATCAGATGCAAGGGCTAACAGCATCAATTCCCTTAGTGCGGGTTAAGGCATTCCCCACAACCCCTGGCACAGCACAGGAACCAGAGCAGGGGAGCTGCTCCCACTGGGACAGCTTCTTTGCTGGCTGCTGGAGCACAGGAAGCAAGACTACGCAGCTACAAATCCTGTCGAGTCTCATGATGTTGTTCCAAGCATATTTTCTTGACTTCCCTCCCAAGGGATCAAACCCAAGAGATGGTTCCATCTGATCCGTAGGTAACCCAGAAACAAAACGTTTCCCAAACAAATAATCACAGTGCAGCCTGACAATGTTCGTTATTACAAAAGAGCATTTTATTTCCATTTCTTCTCGGTGTAGTATATTGCAGCGTAACACTACACAGGTCTATCAGATCAAGAGTCTTGCTACAGTATTAAGGAGTTTGTTCATTTGGTCAAATTCCAAAGGTTTTCCTTGGCATTCTTACAGGATTCATCACCACTTCAGCACATGAATTGTTGGAAGTGCCAGCAACGTGACATGAGACTTGGAACAGGCACTTTCCAATCTGAATTTGCATTAGTTGTTGGGCTGGCTGGATGCACAAATACCCATCCTAACTCTGACAAAGATGCCTGTCTCCAGGTTCTGATCACACAGAAGATTCGCTTTTCAGGCTTAAGGGACTATTAAGGTTGTCTTCTTATTTTTGATGCACTTTTTTGTCATCTCTGCTTCCATTACCAAGGAAGATTTGTGTTATTGTTAAGCAATAATGTAAAATGCCTTGCTTATATCCTGAAATTGTACTTGTTAGGCACCTGCTTAATGTATGTAGTTATATAAACTCTTTGTTTGTATATAAACCATGCCTAAAGTATTACCCACAAAATGCCCATCCGTTTTAAGTCAAATACTATAGGTCACAGAGAAATCTAGTATGCGTTGCCTGTGAATATACATATGAGCAGTACATGAATCACTGAGTAAATATGGCACTTGTACATATTTTCCTGGATGTCATAGAGAGCTAGGAAACAATCTCTGAGCTGACACGCCTCTAAAATACTGCAGCATGGGTTTGGGAAATACACCCCACAGACCAGACAGGAAGAAGTGTAGAAAAGTCAGCAGTGCAGCTACCTGAGTTGGTTTCATTAAGTTGAAGCAATTAACAGCAATGTCATAGTTTATCATTCACTGCAAGCCTGAGAGCTGTCTGCCCACAAAAGCCATGCTGCCCAACCCTGCCATAAAGCAGCACAGCTCTCCAAGCACATGGCTTGGTAAGACGATGGGCTGACCTAGCAGCTCAGCACCTCTGAAGCGACTTGTCTCACCTTCTCCTTGGCCAGACCCTGGCTGCAGAGTCCTGTTCCCTTGCTTCTCCCACCCTCGTGTCCATCCGATCCTTTGGAGAGCTGATCAAGCAGAAAATGAGTCCCTTTCTTAAACTGGCTTAAGTTTTCTGCTGGATTCAGAGGTTGATTTGTCCTGTGGAGGGATCAGACCAGCGCCAGACCAGTAAAGGTACAAGAGAAGCAACCGGAACATATTGGCAGGAACAGGGAGCACAGGAGGAGGAAGAAACTGCCCCTTTTTGGTGGCAGTGAGCTGTTAGACCAACGAAGCTGTCTCAGTAGACCAAACCCTTGGAGAAGATAGTTATTAGTGTGAAAGTGCTTAGACCGGTATAGTTTATTCCTATCAACATGAATAAAGATATGCCAGCACAAGGCACTTCATACTCATGTAACTGTGTCCACAGGAGGGGTTGCACTGGCATGAGTATAATCAGTAACAACCAGAACCCCCCACATCCCCTAAGTGGTGTATCTACAAAAACGGCATAAAACAAGCCTCCAACCTTCAGTTCTGCGGTGTGCATAACTTCCATTCAGAAAACAGACCACAAACTACACATGAAACAACGTCAGACACAAAATAAATTAGGGATTTGAAATGCTACATCTAGGAATAGAAAGATTTCTTTAAAAAACCTTTAAATGTAATCCCATATTTCAAATGTAAGTCAGAGAACTATACAGCTCCACCGATTACTTGGACATTTTAAACAGTTTACATTCATCAGGGACAACAGCACTTTGGTTTACATCATTAGGTTAATATGAGCAATGAAACATTTCTCTCCCTCACATTACATCAAAGTGAAACACATTTGGAATATACATACTGACAAGCTGTTCCAATAAGTGCATTCCATACATAAGAGTAGCTCTTGCAACAGCTACAGCAGTTTTAGGTCTTTAACAGAACTAAATCAAACCCCTTTTAAAAACCTCGTTTTGATTCCTTCCTGCCTGACCCGTTTCTGAGTAATTACATGGATCTTCTCCAGAATGCAGCCAAGCACAAAAAATCAGCCTGGCTTGGTCCTGTGGCAAGCCCACATACCAGATAGCATAGCACACCCTGGATTAGTGAGGAAATTCCCATTCCAGTTTGTCTCCCCACCTTTGTAAGTCAGACTTTTAAAACAACAGTATGCTTTTGTAGCAAGCTCAAGAACTCAGTTCAACTGTAGCTCAGGACACACAAGGACAGTTAGAAAACACTGAAGAGCAACCAACCTGACAGTCATCACCCAGTTATCTTACATAGCTTTAAACAATCAATGCCTGCAAGTTATGAACAGCATTGCCTCTGAGAGAAAGAAGTACTGGGGGCTGGAACTAGATGATCTTAAGGTCCTTTCCAACCCTAACTGTTCTATGATTCTATGATTCCTAGATATTCCTGCAAAGCATTTATCCAGTGCCTGCATCTAACACAAAAAGATGTATTGTGGGATACGATGAAGAGATCTCTTTGCAGCAAAATGTTTTACTATCAATGGTTATTTTTTTCTTAGCTTAAATTCGCTTGTGAGCAGCAAATGAGTTACCATATACCTGCCAAACTTGCTTGAAAGAAAGCAAACGGCTGAATTAAATAAACCACTGAACGTGGCTTCAGAGGATAAAGTTCCCAACCTGATACATAATTATTACAGATTATTACATCATTGTAAAAAGCAGACTTCCAACTGTACGATTTCCAATGTAATTATCAGCTGGAAGCTGCAAACATAGCCTTCATCACTGTCCTCTGGTAGGATCGTAGTGAAGATCCAGTAGGATGAGACTTTTGAGAAGTTAATGTACTTGTTTAATCTCATTTTTGCAAATCCGCAAATGTCCCTGTTCTGAGCTTGGTTATATGATACCCAAGCTCCATGCAGGAGCATATTAGATCCTATTTCCTTGTCAGAAGCTTTACAAACTAAACACGATTGCACTTTTTCTGGATCCCATTCCTGCAAGGTGCCAAGCATCCCCAAAGAGAATTGAACTGAGGGGGGCAGAGGACACTTTCTCCCTTGCAGGATAGGGTGCTTAGGGGAGGATGGGGGTTTTCAAGGGAGTGTTTCACCTCATGTGATTGACATTTCCAGGACAGTGAGTCCATCACACCCCCTCCATTCAAGCTGGCAGGAAATGGGCAGCCACATCCCTTTCCACTGCTTGGAACATCTTCAAACGTGAGTCACTTTAGTCCGGACTCCTCTGTGAATTGTGACCTTACTTTTCCTGAGGAGAGGAACCCGCAGTCAATGCCTTCTGCTTGGCATGCTGTGTGAACAGACAGCTAGACTGAACTTGCCCAAAGGCCCTGGAGGAGTGCTGCATGCTCCCTCAGAGCCGGTAAGATGCATAAAGAACCATTTCAGCTTGCTTTGACCATCTGAGAAAGCCATTTGTCATAAGTAAAAAAGAACAGTCAACCCAGATTTGATCTTGTAAGATGCTGAACGCCTTCTACTGCCACTGAAGAAAAGAAGAAACAAGGCATTCAACACCTGCAGCACCACCCTAAGACCATGTCCTAAGGGATTAACAACAACCAGGAAGACAATATATTCATTTACACAACCCAAAGCATACGTTCTAAACACAGTTCCCTTGTGAGGGTTAGGCAAAGGAAAAAACCCAAAATATCAGCAGATAAAACCATTTACTTTTACCAGTAAAAATTAAGTTACAGCCACCTTGTTCTCAGGGCAAAACCAACTTAAAAAATACCTTAAAACAGTGAAAAAATACAAGGACATTTTATTTAAAAATATATGTACTCCTTGCTCCAAATTTGTACAGAAAGGACTTGTTTGGAAAAAAGAAGAAAAAATAATAATGACAAAGTAAATGCATATTATTTGGTAGAAGCGTCATTTCGGTATGTAACGCAGCAGAAGTTAGTCATTCAGCTTTCATTTGTTCCCTGACATCAGAAGGCAACGTCTCAAACAAGGTGTCCTCTACAGTGAAACCAGTTCGTTTCAGAGCTCTGCATTCCCCGAGTTCAGGTGGGAGGATTTCAAAGTGATTGCCTTTAATATCCAAGTAGGAGAGGAACACCAAATTCCCAATTTTAGGAGAAAGGACTGACAAGTTATTTTTCCCAATTTTCAGAGTCTTCAGTTTTTTGCAGAAGTACAGTTCATCTGGCACGCTCTCCACTTTGTTGCAGGTAATGGAAAAGTACTGTAAACTCTGCAGAACTCCTATTTCAGGTGGGATAAAGCGAATGTCATTGTAAGACAAATCCAAGTATCTGATTTTGTTGCATAGGAATAGGTGGGACGGAAGAACCTCTATTTTGTTATGGCTGAAGGAAAGCCGCTCGAGACTGGTGAGTTTCTTTATATGCTCTGGGATGTACGTTATGCTGTTGTACCACAGCTTTAGGATTGTCAGTTTTCGCAGGTGTTGGAAACTTACTATTTCTTCAATGGATTTGAGGTTGTTTTCCTTTAGGTCCAATTCCTGAAGACTGAGAAGGCTGAAGACTGCATGAGGTATGCGTTCTAAATCACAATGAACCAATTCCAGCTGTGTCAGGTTGACCATCTTCTTCAGGTTGTTGAGCATCACTAACTTAGTGCCATCGTTATGGATGCATAGTTTTTGCAGGTGACTTGAAACATCGACTGCAGACTGTGGGATTTTGGATAAGTTACTTTTTATGTAAAGAACTTTAAGGCTTTTAAGCTCCCGAAAAGACTCCAGTGTAATGTTCTTGGAAATGTCGTGGCTTAGGGAGCCAATTAAATAGAGCTCTTCCAAGTTTCTGAGGCCATACATCCAGTGTGGAAGTTCTCTGATGTCATCAAACTTGACACTTAAGATCTTGAGATTCTCCTTCAGAAAAGCTAAGGCAGCACTGTGGATCTTCACAGAGCACTGGTGCAGCGAGAGCTCCTGGAGGTTATCCAACTGTGCAATGGTTGCTGGTATCATTACATTATTGATGATTTCAAGCTTCAATGACTGCAGCTCAGTAATCTCAAAGACTGTGTCGGGCAGTCCAGAGAGCATGAAAAGCTGTAGCTCCAAATGGCTATGGGAGTTCATCTGTAGTCTCTGCCGCAGCTTATCTGCAGTCCACTCGTTGTTTAGGTTCAGCTGTTTCAGCTTATTTTCACTGACTTCAGACAGGAAGACAGCAAACCTCTTGGAATAGAGAGGATCATACTGATCAATCATATGAAGCATAAAAGCAAAGTCATTCTTGACATCTGGGATATCATCAATTCCTGTCTCTTGCCGAACATACTCAAAAGAATACTCCTTCAGCGATCGGTAGAACAACCAGTACAGTGTGTAAAGGCATGTGAGGCCGTAGATGCTTACAAAGCACAGGTAGCAGTAAGAAAGCTTAGAGAACAGATGTGCCATCGTGTGATTGCAGCAAAAGTTCTTATATCCAGTCATGTCTTCAATATCTACATTACAGACTACTGTAAAATTCACCTCCGAGACTAACGCTGTGTTGTAAGCAATGATAATGAGGAATTTAATTACCTTAAGTACAGTCTGGCGAACATACATGACATAGAGTATGTCACCCTCCTCCACGTGCAGGCGAAACTTCTTCACCTTTTCAAACAGTGCTTTGGCCTGTTCCCCTTCTTTCTTATCTAATGCCCCAGGTGTTCCTTTATCTACAACTAACTTCTCAGGGATTGATTTTAAAGACTGCGTCTTGACCAAAGTGCCTTCAGTGCTTGGCTGGATAGTATTCGACTTGTTTATGTTGTTCTTCCTGTTATCTTTATCTTCAGAGTCCTCCCCTGACACTTCGGATAAGGCTCTTGTTGTCCAGGGAGAATCAAAACATTTCCCAAGTATTGAAATGAAGTGTTCAATCTTGGAGCTCGATCCAGGAAATTTGAACCAAAAGTTACTGCACAGCATGAAGACCAGTGTGTGTATAAGGACAAGGTAAGGGAAGTACTTGGCATACCAGTGCAGGGCACGTTCGTAGCACACCTGATTTATAAAGCTGTATTGCTGAAGGTCCAAATCAGTCTTCAGTCCTTTCATTTCAACTGTAGCTGGAGGGGTGGATGGCTTGGGTGGAGGAAGAGGGGTTGTATCCGGGATTGTGTTAAACACATTTGAACTATTAGATTGGTTCTGGCAAGGCTGGATGCGCTTTGGAAGGCATATTATCTTGTCTTGCATGACCTGAAACACACAAAAAGACATCTTTTAAACTGATGTACAGACAATGGTGGCAGTACCAATGGGTAGCTGTCCTTGGAGTCCTTCCAGCTGCCAGGCAGTCTGTTCTACAACCTGGCATTTGGCCACACAGGCTGTGATATTATTACTGTTGTTGTTATTATTACTATTATTATTCCCAACAAGGCACTTGTTCTATATGCCAAGAACTAGGTCACCCTACTTCATCCATCGCTAGCTTTCCATAATTTGAATAAAAGGGCACTGAGATAATCCAGAAAAGGGAAGAGTGTGGGTAATGCTCCCTGAAAAGACCAGGGGTCTCCTGCATTGCTCTCCCCAGAGACAGACTGTTCTTGCCAGGTGTGTTCATCCTTGGCTACACAACGTTCAGAGATAGCTTAGGCTTGAAAGCTGCATAACCACATTCATGTGGCTGTATGCTCACACTGTGATGTCTTATCACACAGGAAAAAGCTGACAAAGAGCTAATGGGGCATATCATGCTGGGACATTATTAATCTTCGGGTTTAATAAAGACAGATAGGGATACAGAGAATTGACAGCATTTGTGTGCATGGATGTCATTTATGTTCAGTTTCTCATACATACAGTCCTTGTGCCACACACTTGCAGGAGGGGGGGGGGGAAAGTAGCTCTGTCCTGTCCTTGATTTGTCTATAAGGCAAAAAAAAAAGCAACTTTCTTAATTTGGGCTGGCCATCCACGTTGACAAACTGTGGTCAGAGAGCCTTTAGGAACCAATCACCTTTGGCTTAACTTGGGATAACAGTTTGAGTTCAGTGCGAGGCTTCCTATAGCTCTGAATTTAAAATGCTAACCCATGTGATAAACCAAGAAGCTCTGTTATTTGCCCTTAATGACTAACTGGCATTAGCCCAAACAACATGTGTGTAGTGTAAATGTATTCTTTTACATCATGGTTGTTGAAGGCATTAAATACAGGGTATGCAGCAAGAGCTGCCAAAATCAGATCCTCCTTGATGGTCCACACTGGCTTTTAATTCCTAAGCTGGAACTGAAAAAACAAAATCACCTATTATTTGTGGTGTTTCTACACATTACTTTCCCCCATGCTTCACCCAACTAAGCAGGTGAACTTAAAAATAACAAGTGTTCTACTTTGTGTGCTTAAGAAGACACTTAGCTACTAATGCAAAATTAATCTCTCTGTAAAGAGAGACACGGACAGCATATCTTTTCAACTGAAAATACTTGAAATGGAGAATACAGGCAAAAGTACAGCTGATTTCCCATGAAATTTGGGATGTAGTATGAGAAAATCTTGGGCCATGTAAGCGAGCAAATTCCCCTGCCACTGTTTCCCCTTAGCTCCATTTCTAAGTCATGCCAAGGAACACGAGATTCCTGCTTGTACTAGTACTACAACTTTCTATTTTTGTGGAGTCCATCCCAAATAGAACTTTCATTTCTTTTCAGCTTTTGGCTCTTTAGCAAAATGTAACTAACAGTGATTGTCAGTAATGTCAGTAATTTACGCGTAAGCATCCTCAGAGATGTTTTGTAATGGAATAGGCATAATATTAGTGGTGTTAATAAAATAAGCACATTCATTTCAGAACCCTTTGAAGCATAACAACTGGAGGAACAGTAACATTTGCCAGATGAAAACAGAAATTACAAAATTATAATCTTCAAACTTCTCAATAGAAAAATGGCAGCAAATAAGAACCTCAGCTGATCATCTGGTTTATTATGCCAAACGGTGGTGCAAAACAGGCATCCAGGCACAAGCCAAGACATCAGCTCTTATCTCAACTGGCACCACTCCATCAACTCTAGCGCAGCTCTGCTGATTTATAGCTGCTGGAAGTCTGGTCTGTGTTATTTGATGTTGCTACCTAAACAGCTTTAATCCTGGGACCAGCAAATCTTTGCTTTGTTCACAGTGAGCCCAAGAGATAAACCAAGCTGTGACACCCTCCTTCCTTACTCATTTGTGGTGTTCTTTCAGCCTCACCCAAAGAACACCCGGCCTTGCATCAGTCTTCATGGATTTACCTGTAGCGTGCACCCAAACACACCGATCATGAGCATGGCGACGGAGAGATAGTCTGTGAACACATCCCACCAAGGCTTCAGCACCCTGAATGCCGGCTGCTGCTCTGAGAACTGGCGAAACTCGGTCACGGGAATCATTGTCCTGCAAAAGAGCAAGGCCAGGGTTTAGCCTCCTGCAGCCTGTGTGAGCAAGTCCTTTCGTGAGCTTTGAAAGAAGCTGCTCTGGAAATGGAACAACCAGGATGTGGCAGAACACTTCCCAGCTACCACCCAAGCACCCCTCTAATACCCTACCTCAGGAGAGGAATGATCATGCTGTGCCCTGCAGCTCCTATGAGGAAGGACTGGAGTCCCTTAGATGCAGGTAGGCACAATCCTTTCTGCATTGACTCCAGTCATAGCTGATGGGTCCACGAGGCCACATGAACCCCTGAAAATCAGCCCATTCTATAGATACATTCATCTTTATACACGCTAGACTTGATCTCAAAGGTCTGGCTCGAATGCTAGTCCTGAGCTCAGATTTCACAGGCCCTTTTAGCTAGCTATCGTGTTTCATTCACTTTCATTTTATTCCTAGTGGTTTCAGGGATGCTTTGGAATATTTGTGTGCTTACTCCCTGCAGTTTTAAATCTACTATGGTTTGAGTACAAGTTGCGAAAGTGCCTTAGCAAACCAAAACTACGGGCAGATCAAGGGCTTTTATCTTCACCTCAGATGCCTAGGCTTACGTCATCACATCCTCTGAAATATCACCTAGCACATGAGCATGTACAGGCAAAGCAACTGATTTTAAAGCCTACAGCAGATCGTGAAACTCAGTCCCTGAGACCAAACCAGTACTGAAAGACTCCAGTAAGTTACAATGGAAAGATAAATTCACACGGGAATGCAACAAAGATACTCCCAAGGGCAACTTACAAAACTTGTCCTTTACTATGCCCACCACAATCACTTTGTATCACAAGAACATATAATCCTGATTCAGCTGCACACTGGGACCCCTTAGTGTGGGGTTGGTGCCATCCAGGCTCAGTGATAAGCACACCCTTGCTGATACACTGCCCAGTGACTTGAGCGATTTAGTCCGTGCAGAGCTGGGGATCTGGTAAGGAAGCACTCAGGCCCTAATCGTTGCCATCCATGGCAAGCATACAGCCATGCCAAGAATCTCTAACTGATTCCCACAACACTGGCCATACTCATGTGGAAAGACGCTCACTTTGACACCTTCTCCAGGCCTGCTTGTGCAGCTGATCCTCAGGAGGTACCGCAGCCCCCAGAGGCAGAAGGTAACATCTCTAAATGAGCATGGGCCACTAGCTAGGCTGGGGCTTTGCAGCTTTCTGAGTGAGTGGCATAAAACCATTTTAGCCCTTGTTCTCTGCTCCCCTGTCCTCTTGCAGCCCTATCAGAGGTTGCTTTAAGCAGTACTTGGCCAGGCAGAAGAATCTCTCTCAGCCTCCTGTCCTTCTAAAAGCTGTCCCCAGGATGCACGCTACACTGTCAGATGCAATCCATGGCTGGCAATCCCCAGGAGGAAGGCAGGCTGTCCTTTGCAGCACTTGCAAATTAATAGCTCATCAGTGAAAATGATGGCGATGCAAAGCCTGACCTCACACAGTCAGGACAGAGGCTTCAGCAGCATCCAGCCAACAGGCCTGAATCACTGGAGTGGTGGCAACTCCTAGCGACACCTGAGCTGAAGAACATCACATACTGATGTATTTCACTGCCACTGGTAAGGAATTACCCTCCTTTTTTTTTTTAATTTCCACATCAAATGACTGGCAATAGCTTTTGGTAAGCTTGAAAAAGTAATTTTTCTATCAAGCACTGAAACACATAGAAAAACCTTAAAGGAATATGTTCACACAGATGTCAGCTAACCAGTTGCCATGCAACAGTCCTGCTCAGAGCTTTGTAACACATATACCACTGCTGGCTCAGGTTTTTCGGCTAGTTAGCTGACGGAAATGCCACCAGTACCCCCAGAACAAATACAAATAGATAGCTTTAAAATCACAGTATTTTCTCTCCTGCTTCCTCCCTTTTGAAATGGCTTAGGAGTGTTTTTTGTATTCTGATGCCACATCCTATAGAGGTTTTACTTGTTAAGGTTCTTTTGAAAGTACAGACAATTTGAGCATCAGGTAAAACAAAACATCTTGTTTCCTACAGTGAAGGCTCTTGACTGCTGTCATGCACCAAAGCATGTGGAGACCAAATCCTTGCTGGTTAGATGTGGATAGGAGCCATGGCATTATGGAAGTCAGCAGTACTGAAACAGGGACAACAGATGGGACTGGAAAATACCCTGCAAATTACTGTGCAGGGACAGCTTTCAGGACCAAAAATGAATTTCACTGTTGCATTTGATAAGTTTTGCTCTGTATTTTTAGGGTTCTTTGTTGTATTATATATTTGCTGTATTCCTTCTAAATGATAAGTGGGGAATACAGATGAAGGCAGATAGTTTCTGGCACCACAAATGCATGCTGCTCTGATCCCCTGTTCCCTTTAGAGGCTGCTGTTTGCATAGTGTGACTCCTCATTAGTAGAGTGCACATTCTGTTACCGTGGTAAATGGGCCAAGGAGGGAGAGACCTGCATACAGAAAGCCTCTCTGAGCCATGCTACAAAACCCATCATTGAGGGTGGAAGGTCTGCAGTCCAACACCAGGGATCAGAACCTGCCTGCCACTTAGGTTTTGATTTACTGTTAGAAAAAGAAGACAAATGCTACTGAATGACAACAATAGTACTGCACACAAGAATGATAAATAAACCAACAACGGCTAATGACAGGCAGTCATTTTTTAACTGGAGGGAAAAAGACATTCACAAGCAGCTTTAAAAGGACGCTGGATGTGAAGAAGTGGCATAACTGTTTTCCAGCATCCTCTGCAAAAACCCGATTGTTTCTCCCCTTGCTGCGCTAGCAATAAAGAGGAAATGCTGGAAGGAAGTGCAGAGAAGTGCAGGCTTACCAGCACTGCTACATCTGCAAACAGGACAGGATGACACGAAACTGCTCTTCCTTCTCGCTTCTTTTCCGTTCTGGCCTGCCTGCCCATTGACTGAAATGACATCTATCAGCAGTGGCTCTGAGGCCTCAGAAAAGACAAAACAGGTCCACATGGCTCAGACCAATCCTGAACATTCCCTCCTGGCTGTGGCCAGAGTCTGGCTCTTCCCCAGTGCTACACCCAGGGCTGCACCACTGCCAGACTCTTTCATAGCCATGCACACACCAGGTCTGCACGAAGTAAAGTGATTCTGTCAACCATGAATTTAAACAAACCAAAACAGAGGTAATGGGTTAAAACGGAAACAGGGGAAGTACAGGTTGGATATAAGGAAGAAGTTCTTTACTGTGAGGGTGGTGAGGCACCCAGGTTGCCCAGAGAAGTGGTAAATGCTCCATTGCTGACAGTGTTCAAGGCCAGGTTGGACAGAGCCTTGGGGGACAATGTCTAGGGTGAGGTGTCCCTGTCCATGGCAGGGCATTGGAACTGAATGATCTTAAGGTCCTTTCCAACCCAAACCATTCTATTATTCCATGATTCTGTGCTAACATGTCACACTGCAGCCCAAATTACAGCCATGTGGGACAGCACAGCATTTACTGTAGATTCTTACCTCTTCTTATAACAAGGAGATAAAAGAAAAGGCATTCAACATTTCAGCTGGTGTAAACAAAGACAGGATTACTAATTCAGTTCACTCACAATCCAAATACTATTTAATGGCATACTACATTGTAGTTGAAATGTGGAGCCTGACTTACGTTAAGTACTATTTTAACCTACTTTAGGAAATACTGACTTGTGAGTATTGGACATTTGCTTTCAATTAAAATCAGAACTCATTCTCTTTTTTTTTTATTTTCTGTTGAATTTCTAATAATCCTCAGTCCCTAGAGAAAAGAAGCTCGTACATGAGAGAAATAATCTGGTAATCAGCTACCAGAAGGAAATAAAACAGGAACTTGGGGTAAAAGCAGTTGTACTGGCTGTTAAGCAGTGCTGCACAAAGGAGCTAAGCATTTGACAGATTAAATAAAGAACAGCCAACAAAACACACACCCCCCAAAACAAAACAAAACTGAGGGGAAAATTAATACAGTTACCACTGTTATTATTATATTTCTAGGAAATATAGAAAGCTTGGTTATTGAAAATGAATACATGACAGTAAGATGAAATACGGGAATACAGGTACAAGGAAGGTGTGATATTTACTCCAGCAGAAAAGCTAACTAGAGGAATAAGCTAACTAGAGGAATAAGCTAACTAGAGGAATAAGCTAATACATGGGCAACTAGAAGCAAGACACAAGTAATGTGACCTAAAAGAGCTAAGAAGAATAAACAGAACTGCATCAGAGAGGAAAGTACTAGAAACAAAACAGACTTAAATCACGACTTTCAGTCAATGGATTGTTGTGAAATGGCCCCACCATGGAGCAAAACAGCTTCTTAGCAATTAGCCTTCATCAGAGTGCATAAAGGGAAGTGGTGGGGACAGTTGGGAAGGGATGTTGGCTCTTGCCAGTGGGTGAAGAGAAGAATGAGTGTGTGTTACCAGTGGGGCAGCCCTTGTGATGTGCTGCAGAGTAGAAAGGAACTTAACTTCCTGCCACCTGTGGCTGGAGATATGGATATGAATCACAGAACCCTAGGTTAGGAGAGAACTCAAGGATGCTCTGGTCCAACCTTTCTAGGCAAAGTGTAAGTGCTTTAAAGTGGGGAGAGAAGTAACATCATTTCCAGTCCCTCCAGGACTCAGTAGTTTCTCAATGCAAACGGGCTTTTCTCATTTTTTGAGAATTTCTTCCATTTAATACACTAATTGCTAATAGAGCTTAACATCCATCTCAGTGTCACTGCTGACTTCCCAGCTTGGATGGATTCACACCAAATCTAGGCAAAGATACTGGCAGCAAAAAAGTAAATGTACATTTTGCCACTCAAACATATAAAGTACAATAACTCAGTTTTCTGCTATTTGTGTGGAGCACTTGCTTTGCACACAGTGGCTAACAGGCAGTGAGAAGATGAACTGGTTCTGCTCTTTCCCATGACAGCCCTCTCGTCAAGCTGTATTCATCCTAAAGCATCCTGAGAGATACTTTACACA